AGGAGAGAGAGAGAGAGAGGGGGGACGGATGAAAAAATATAATAGCGAGAGATTAACGCATAATCGGAAAGGTCGAGCAAATCCGAGTGGAAATCCATTCTGCAATAATCTCAATGGTGAAACACAGGGTTCTGTGTTTGCGAACAGTATTGCTCAATGTACCGTATGATTCAGCGATTGCCCCTACCTTCCAATTTCCCGTTGTTGACAAGGAGGGAATTGTTCGACTTCCTGGATGAATTACGCGACATTTGGCTTTGACTTGGACTGCTATCCGTGCTCTTCTTCTCTAGTACGTCGTGACAGCTGTACGACGTATGGGTGACCGTTAACATCGGATGCACGCTTCCTGAATCGTCCATGTGATTGCGTGAAATACAAGAAAAACAAACAACATGATCGATCGACTCGAAGCAAGTTGATCTTGCTTCTGTATACGCGGGACGCAGCGCCTTGAAAGATTCATTGGCTAAATATTCGTTACTCGATGGTCCGAACATCTAATGTTCTCGGAGACTATACTTTGCGTCTTCCGAGAAATATATCTATTTATACGGGGCCTCCCGGATTTCTCCTTTTCGTCTTTAATAAGGGCATTAAGCCGTAAAAGTTATTTTCTGCCTTTGAGCGAAATAAACAAGAACCTTTTTTTTTTGTTTCTTCTCGACAAATACTTATCGTCTACGATAAATGCATTATTTAGAAATTAGAAAAATATATGCATGAGATTTCACCAAGTATATTTTTATAAAGTCCCTATAAATCAACTCGTTAAAACATCACAAGAAGATTCTCGCAGTTAGAGCGAATTTATTTTAACAAATGTGATGCCGTCAGCGCTTAAAGGAATCTTCATTCAAAGCTCCTTTGGATCGGATCGATTGTTATTCGTCCGCCATTTCGAAGCGAACAATAGCATTCACCGATATATGATGCAGAATAAAAAAAAAAAATTCAAACCATCGGAGCTGTCATTTTCTTTCTGCCTGCTGCTGACCTATTTTGTCCAATCGCAAGAGTATTCGTTTACCGTAAAAATACAGCCTGAGAAACGGAAGCCCCGAGCGCTGCCGGCACAAATCGAGAAGAAAAATATTCGCATTAAAATAGTATTAATATATATCGAATATTTGTATTTGAGAGTTGATTCTTCGACGGCGCATTTTTTGTTACACTACTTATCAATAAAATTGTATTAAATATTAATATCGTTCATTATAATTCAATTCTTTTTGGAATTTTAGGAAAATCTTTAACATTTTTAAAAAGCTGCAGTTCTAATAAAATAACTTATATTTCCATGTTACTTTTTTAAAAATGCGGACAGTCTACGGTTACGTTGTGCATTCACATTTATGAACATAATGACGTAATGACCTAATAATCGTGAGAAGTAACGAACTGTTGTCGGAAAGGCAATCGCATGGCATACTTTACCCGTTCGCGTCTTGGAGATTTCGCTTTCCGTTCTGTGATGGCCTAGCGCCTGCAATTTTTCCGTAATTCCGTGAATTTTGTCGGCCAACGAGGATCCGCCGTGGCTCTCCGTGGAAGCTCCGCCCGGCCCGCCGGTGCTATTAACGTTACTGCTGGAAGTCGTGTGCGATGTAATTGCGGCGCAGGCGGTCGTCGAGGAGATCACGGCCATCTCCTGGGAAGAAGACCAACAAACGCGGATAATACGAGGCTTTTAATTCCCGTCGTGAGCGCGCGCACGTTTACGAGGCTCTCTTATTGTCGCTTTTTTTTATGCCCGCATGACGCGACACGCTTCCCTGTCCCAACGTGATGCTAATATTGCAACTGCAATGCGCGCCTCCGTAGCTTGCAAATGCTACTCGCTCGTAATTTCTCTTTCTCCCCTTTCCCCTTCACCAATTTGCGCTCGCGACTTATTTACTCGCTCGCAGCAGCAAAGGTCGTAATTCCGACAATCCTTATTAGGATAAGCATAAGCAGCGACACGTACCTTGAAGGCTTTGCCGTCCACTCCGCGCGAACCTTTCCTGACGAACGAGAGGAAAAGATGCCGACACAATTCATCCGGTGTATCGATCTCCAGATACGAATTTAGAAATTTGCGGAAACCCTCGTAGTCGATGTCCTGAAATAAGCAAGTACAGAAATAAAACGCTATTTATTGCGTTTCTTCAGGGAAGAAAAAAGCTTAATATAGAGCGAAATGAAAGCGTAGCTTAATTTTTTTATTAAGCTATACTCTCGTTACATATAATTTTCTATTATCTTGCACGTGTTATTAGATAATAAACTCTGTACGTGTTATATTGAGTCTACTTTGATATCATGTGTTAAAGAGATCCGTAATTAAAACAGAACTTGATGTACTTTTAAACTATATAATCGTATATAGTTAAACTATTAGCAATAACTACCGGAAAAATTAAACGGCTTGGCGATCAAATTTCTGTGTCGCGTTTTTTTTTTTTTTACGATCGATCGTCGCTATTACAAGTATTTCCGTCACGATTACCACAAAAAAAATCGTTGTTAATTAATCCGATATACATAAGCCGCTATCTCGCGTGTTCATTTCGATTCTGTTCGATCTAAATGAATTCCATTCAACGGAGTATTAAAGCCCAACGAAACGTGACGCTTCTGCTGATACAATGAATCCCGCCAAGATGCACATTTCGCAAATTGACTGATTACAATTACATCCGGCGACGCACATTTAGATTCCGCGCGTTCTAGATGGATCGATAGTTTACATTTAATGCAATTAACTATGCTCCGTTGATTGCTATTCATGGAATTCGTTTCACCGAGATTGCGCGTATTTAGGCCATGTCTCCTAAAAGCGGTCTTTTCACGAAACTATCCGAAGCTTTCAAATAGTACCAATGTTCTCCAAATACGTTCGACGAAACGGAAAGCTGTATAAATAATTGTTGAACAAAATCACAGTTATTTCAGAAAATTTCTGACCGAGCTTAAGTAATAACAAAGCAAACTACAAGCGATGTAAAACGGTTATTGAATATTTCTTTTGAGACCACAGTACGCGTCTCGTGAGTGAAAAGCAATGTTAAAATATATATTGATTTTAAGCAACATTCAATTTTTACCAAACAAAAAGTCCATCGAATATGTGAATGTATTTATTGGACAGAACGTAAATCAATTATCTTTATGTAACTATCTACTCGTTGCCATAAAATCGATTGTAATTGAATAAACATACAATGGCTGCAGCTGTTCATGATAACTCAATATAATTAAAATGACGAAATACATAAAATGCGAATTTACTGTTGATTTTATCGTTGCGCTCATTATAGATATGGATCATTATAAATAAAATGGTCCAGTCGGAACATATATTCATAAATTATTTGTTACGAGCTGCATGTGTTCCGTAAACGATAATCGTACACTGAGAACTAAATAGCAGTATAAACAGTTGTAAAATTGTATTACGCTACAGTTAATAAATGTCGGTCACCAAACGTCACGAAAGTGTACTAAAAACCCGGAATATTTCCGCGCAGCCAGTTCATTCACTTTAATTAAAGCAGGAGCCAATTAAGCTGGGTGACGTTCGCTGGGGCTCTCCGGGTAGAAAATTAGATAGAAACGCGGAGTTACGATATCGCACGTGACATCCGCGACGTGCGACGGACGTGCGCGAGGGCGAAATTCGCGCGCATCTTTGCTCGAATTTTTTCCGAGATCGAGAGAAAAAGTTGACCAATTCCGGAGATGCACGGCCTACATTCGCTCGACCGAATCTGCATAGATATTGGGTCTATCAACCACGAACACAAGCGCGGATCCGCCCCCAGCGAAAATTCATTTAGCACTGGAATTTGTGCTCCACCTTGTAGAATCCGACTGGCGTAGGAATAACGGAAATGCGATCCGGTACACACAGAGAGAGAGAGAGAGAGAGAGAGAGAGAAAGAGAGGAGGAAAGTTTCCGGCTGGCCTAGTAGTTTTCCGCTCGATTAATAATCACCGATTGACTACCGCGCGATATTATCTATTATTCACTGTGAACTTACCAAGGATCGATGTATCTCCTTTTAACGGTGATCTGTTTGAAACATACGCGAAATCAAGGGTAATCTTGAAATATACGATCTATGGCAGACAACCATAAATTTTCAATCAAAGTCAAGCCAAAAATGAGCAGTTTCATTGAAGATGAGATCTGCAAAACGCTAACCTAGTTTTGAATCGTATTTGAGTAGATTTGAGAGAATTACTGTGACATTTATCGATACTCCTAGCCCAAGGACGCAGGGCGTCGCCTTTTACCTTTTTTTTTTTGCTCCGTTAAACCTCGCTATGAGCAATAAAGTCGCAAGCGGAGGATGGTTGGAAAGGGCGCGGTTCGTGCTGGATCGTTGAAAACAAATTTATAGCGATCATGTGAATGTCTCGCAAAATACAAAAGTTAATTAATAAATTATGATTTTATTTCGATCATTTTATCTCCGTTCTTTTAAGTCCCAGAGAAAAAAATAAAAATTCGTGTATCTGATAATTATAAATAAATTGCTTGCCTGTCAATTAAGTTGAAGTTAATCGGAAAACTGCGAACTGTTATTATTAGGCTACTGTTATTATTAAGATCGTGCTTGCTTCGCGCTGTAAGTCATTCTTCCGTTCTAATTTGCAAGATCATTGCAGTTCTGTGTGGTAAATTAAATGGAAATTCTTCGACCTTACTTTGAACCTAAGTTTTATAAGTAGAGTCAGGTAACTTTGAAAGAACTTCGAGTTCCTTTTAGCGACTAATTTACACTATTACAATAGTAATTCAAAAAATTAAAATGCTATTTTGTTTACAATAAAGAATTTATAAATTCAACCCAATAAATTTTACCAGACTAAATGCAACATATGTTATATTAGAAAAGTAACTACGATTAATTCTACATACTCGGGAGAAGCAAATAGAGAATGTTCTAAAATAATTAATTATAATCATAACTGCAAGCGTTTATTTCTCTCACTGAATATATTCTGAATATATTCACTGAAAACTGTTCCATCATATTTTAAACTCTAATGCAATTTTAATTTCTTATTAATACCTCGATAATTTCTACAGTCATTCCTTTTTTTAAATAAGATTTAATAATTAAATCATTGACATAAATCGACAGATAGATTTTTGCTTGAGCAAATTGAATTTTCACGTAATTTTCCGACGTCGGCGAAATATCTGGATTTACTACTGAGCCGTTAACGTGCATGCGTCTGTTGGCCGTAATCCTATTTTGTACATCAATCTCGCTATAGAGCACGCAGTCGAACGTATTCCATTATTGACATTTTACAACTAAAATGATTTAGCTTTAGTCTACAATATTTCTGACTAACTAGTCGCCTTCATATTTTTCTCTTGCGATTTAGCCGTACGGGTGAGTTTGTTACGGGCACTTGATTCGAAATATTCAATCATTGAACTACAATTTACGTAGTAGCTGCGCATACGTTTAAAGTGGTTCATTTTGAGACTTTTGAAACAGGAGCTTTTGAAAATTATAATCTGAAATGAAAGTTAATATTGATGTACAAAGGCAATTCATACGTACTAAATGAAGTTACGTGTGCTTAATTCACACTGATAATTCAGATTATATTATTCGCTTAATAAATTTTGATGCTTATTAACATGGATACGGAATATGGAACGTGATGATATTGAAATATGCTGCTTGATTAGATAGGAATTAAAGTGAGATTTTCCAGTGTATTATTTTGACAATTTAATAATTCAAATAACAATATGAAATATCTAATTTGTTCTTCATAATTATACAGGATGTATAAATAATTGCAAGCTTTTTAATAACAAACGCGTTCACTCATATACAAATCATATATAACAATAAAAAATGCGAATCTATGCTGACAAAGTTTTTACCGCAAGAAACTACATTATGTCGCGGGCGTCATGAAGGGTATCGCGCTTCACAACCGCGTAACAAACCGTTTTATGAAATAGAACACGTTTGCTAAGCGAGGAAATGTTCACATGAATGGCGCAGGAGGTGGCCATTAAGCTCTAGGGACAGAGTCGCTGGAGGAACCAATCGGGAGAGGGCGAAATTCGAAGGGAGAGAAACGAGGTCATCTTGAATGATCACGTAAGGGAGTGGTGGTGACGTCAGTGCGGCGATGACGTCACCGTGAGGGCGTCATAACTCCACTGGAAAAATAGGTCGCAGGGGTTGAGGGCGAGAAAGAGACAATCGACCGCGCATCTATCGCTCGATTACGATATTGAAAAGAAAACGTGTATTTTTAGTTAATTGAAAATGTGTCATTTTGAAAATGGCATTTTCTGAGATTTTGGTCCCGAACGGCAAATAATTTCCTTTGAAATTATTTGGAAAGTTTGATAAAAATACAACGGTAATAGATATCTATTTTCGAGATAATTGTCCTGTCTGATTTAAGTGATGCCTTTATATACTTTGCTCACGTATGTTAATTTTAATAAGAGATTTTGCCTTGAAATTTACAAACTAATTTATTTAAGATATTTTATATTGAAAATGTATATAACGGAAGAGAAAAAGGCATTTCATGAAAGTTTCATTACGAAGAAAAATTACGCCAAATTTCGAGAGCGAGTGGCTGACAGAAAGTGCCGCGGAAGCGACATAGAGCATAATATAAAACACATATCGGTTTATTTATCGGCGGTAATCTTTCGAATCCGTGGCACCGCAAAACATCGATCGACTTACGTGAATAATTCATGAAACAGCATTTGCGTACGCTTTGATCGCGTTTAGCGCTTGACAGTATCGACGGGTTTATGTGTGCCGGGCGGCTGTGCAATAAAAATAAACGCGTTACTAACAAAAACGCGCGAAACGCCGCCGCTGTGGTTTCGAGTTTCGAGATCGCGAACGCCGCAACCGCATTCTTCCCGGATCGAAAATAGTCGATTGACCCCGGATCGCGATCAAGATCGTGTCGTGTCAGTGTCGACGAATACCATGTCGCTTAAGATCCGCCACTTCATCTCTCTCACGTCCATCGAGTATCGCGGATTATGACCTTTCAACTTCACGTTCGGAATTGATAGCCACGCGTTACTCCGTTGCATCTTTACTTGTT